TTTTTTTTATGCAGCCAATTTTGCGTTTTAAAAATGTAAATCATGGGAAAATTTACGCCTGTTGCTCCATAATAGAATGAAAAGAAAATAGAAAAAAAAGAAAGGGCCATGGAAGCCCAACCAAAATTAGTCATTCCAAGCAGAAATTTCGGGGTTGTGGTGGATTTGCGGTGGTAATTTGCGGCCGTAGGTATGCCAAAGAATAACATATATAGTACAGGACTATACAGACTGAAGGAAGTTCAGCAGGGTTGAACCCCAGTTCAAGGCTGAAAGAATAGAATCAGATAGGGGATGGGGGTGGGTAAGATAATTGTGTTGCCTGTTGTTGCTTTACACTTCCATTTATTGTCCATCACATATTTATGTACTTGAAATTTCACTTATTAACTTCTAAATATAAAACCCACAAAATCCGAAACTTGCCGATATGCATTTGCCAGAAGAAATTTTGCGTTCTGCCGAGCCCCGTGATAACGATATTTTCCAGAAACTGCAACATCAAGAACCGATAGAGTTTGTAAGTCGTTGTGAAGGCAGAAAACCCAAAAATGTTTGCAAAAATCGCTACAAAAATATTATACCGTACGATCATTCACGAATTATTCTGGAAACGGACGATCCTGAGTCAAGTGATTATATCAACGCAAATCACATTGAGGTTCTTTTTACGTGAAGTAAAACATCGGGATCACTATTTACTTCTGGATTTTTTTTTGCGTTTTTCTGAAAGTCAACAGCTTTTGTCTCATATTTTCTTGTCACAGATGCTTGTAAACGAGTATCCGGAGTTTGCTGGCTTAAATCGAAGGTACATATCGACGCAGGGTTGTTTGCCGAACACGATTGATGATTTTTGGAATATGGTTTGGCAGCAGAATTCACGAATTATCGTTATGATAACGAAAGAATTTGAGAGGGGAAGGGTATATTTTATTTCCATACTTGCTTACAATTACTTAATTTTAATATCTTCTGAAAAAATGCGCAGTATTAGCATTAGCATTGAAACACATCAAAATCTTATTTGTCTGAGCGCCAGCTTTTCGAACAGTGAGGTAGGAGGGGGAAGCATAGGCGGATCGGACGGAAGTCTTTCCTCTGGTGGCGCAGGCACCAGTGCTACAAAAGTCTTGGTTTAAAGCAAAAACTGAAGAAAACTCTTTTCCATACCTCCGTTGCCCCATTCCTCCCCTCCCCCTTCAAGAAGCCGTACTGGATCCGCTCATGGGAGCGGGAAGCGGGAAAGTGAGAAAGGGTAATAGAACACCTAGGAGGGTTATAAAATTTTTACGTACACTGAATTTCTTTTTCGCAGTTTATTGCTTTACAGAATAAGTGTTGTCGGTACTGGCCTTTGAATTATGGAGGAGAGAGATTTGGCAAGTATGGAGAATTGCTTGTGAAGTCAGTGCAGGTATTTTTCTTTTAACGATACTTTTACGAAACTTTGCATGTGTGAATGAGTTAAGAAAATAAAACATTTCAATACTTTGAACAGCTTCTCTTTTGTTCCCATTCACTGGGTTACCGTTAATTTTTTCTCCCCAACGACAGCATTTCACCTCCATGCATTACAACTGGCCCTGGAAAGTGTCTTTTTTGCTCTGCTGGTGTTGGGATCTAAAAATATGGCATGTAACTCGTTGAGGGCGCTTTATTATGGTTATTTATTATTTTGCGGCCATCCGTCTGTATTATTTATTCCTGTTTTTTCAGTTTCACGTCAAATTAGGAATAATTTGTCTTTTTTCACCCACATGGTTTTTTCTCCGCGAATTTGGAGCCCGTTTTTTTTTTTTTTTTTTTTTTTTTTA